CCCCCTTGAAGTCGAGGGGCTCCTCAGGGCATTGGACATTACAAAGGTGCCAGGCCCAGACGGGTTACACCCGAGAGTACTTAGAGAGTTGGCAGGGGTTCTCTCACGCCCGCTGGCCTCCATTTTTGAGACCTCGTGGAGAACGGGTGAAGTTCCAGAGGACTGGAGGGTGGCATCAGTGGTCCCAATTTTCAAAAAGGGTAGTAGAAAGGACATGGGAAATTATAGACCGGTTAGCCTTACGTCCATTGTAGGAAAAACCATGGAAAGGCTCATAATAGAGAGAGATCTAGTGATGCTAGATAGGGAAGGGAGGCTGACAGCCACACAACACGGCTTCCGCAAAAACAGGTCCTGCCAGACTAACCTTGTGGAATTCTATGACAAAGTTTCGAGATGGCTAGATGGAGGGGATGCAGTGGATGTGGTATACCTGGATTTCAGCAAGGCCTTTGACAAAGTGCCCCATGATATCCTAGTGGAGAAACTGAGGAGTTTTGGGATACACCAGAGCACTGTCCGGTGGATTAGAGCATGGTTGACTGAACGAAAGCTGAAGGTAACCATTAGCGGGGAATCATCGGGATGGCGGCCAGTGACAAGCGGGGTCCCCCAGGGCTCTGTCCTGGGGCCGATCCTGTTTAATCTTTTCATTAACGACATGGAAGAAGGGATGAACAGTCTGCTGATCAAATTCGCAGACGACACGAAAACTGGAGCAGTGGCCACAACTGAGCAGCAGGTACTCCAGATCCAAAAGGATCCGGACAGACTATGGAGGTGGGCAGGAGACAACAGGATGGTGTTCAATGTGGATAAGTGCAAAGTCTTGCACTGGGGGCATAGGAATAGGTGTCATAAGTACAGGTTAGGTGACAAGTGGCTGGAGAGCAGCACTTGTGAAAGGGACCTCAGGGTACTGGTTGACTGCAAGCTAAACATGAGTCAGCAGTGTAATGCGGTGGTCAAGAGGGCGAACGCCACTCTTGGTTGCATAGCCAGAAGTGTGGCTTCTAGATCAAGAGAGGTATTACTACCACTCTACACGACT